AGGGGGGGGGGGGTAGAACGCAAATGATCGTACGACATCTGAAGGTTTTACTGTCTTGATCTGAGCAGAAACATCAACCCAAATAGAAAAAAACGTCGCTTGCTACGTAGTATGTGCTACAGGCCGAGCTCAGACATTCTAACTAAACTGACGCAATTGAACCGGACACCCGCGTCGGTGTCGTCCAATGGCTGCATGGTGTATGAACCACCTTTACGGAAGCGCACGTGCTCCACTCGCTATAGAAGCTGTTTGCAACTCAGCATTAATCGTGAATACAACTATTAAGTCTGAACAGACTGCCTTCTGTCGTGCTTAAGTGTTGCAGTACACACACACACACACATATATATATATATATATATATANGAGAGAGAGAGAGAGAGATGAACCAATAAATATGCTGCATAATCGATATATAACAGAAGGCAAAAATATGACGTGATAGAAGAACCGCTAGCATCAACTAACTCCAAAACCGGAGGCTGATTTCGTCCAACCACTCACAGCTGCATGTTAATAGAGGTTCTTGAAGAGCATCAACTCGCACGTTAGTTTAGATGATACGCCTCAATTAATGAGAACGATCGGCACTGAATTACCTTTCATCCACATTGGACAAGTTTTTCACATGCATTTACTGATTCGATGGAGGCTGGTTTTAGTAATTGTAGTGATCGTAATATTAATACGAAATACGAAATACAAAGCACGGATTAACGATCATGGAAGAGACGTAATCAGTGGATCACACTAGTATTTGCATGACAGTATCCCACGTGACCGAGACGCGAGGAAAAGGCCACAGGAGTAGCGGTTCGCTTATTGAGAGAAATCAAGGGGATTAAATAGCATGTACAAAACAAGTTCAGTGGTCATCCGAGCCTCTGCCAATCGCTTGCTAGTATTTCTGATGTTGTTCAGCATCTGTCTGCGCGGCACCGCTTCTGATTGGTTGGTACAATAGACCTATGATCTGTAGTCCAGAAGCTGTGAAACGTACGCGCTCTTCTGACGTCACCCGGGAAGCTTGATTGATAACAGCTGTCCGAAAACTGTAACGTGTCGCTCCGTGGTTTGCGTCATCTCATAGGCTAGGCTAACCACACTGGTTTACCTCAGTCCATATTAGGCTAGAAGCATGATTATTTAAAGAAAAGTTGTTGATTTACTTTTTTATTGGTAAGAACTCTAGTGGTTCCTGATGATTCGGAGGCTTGGTAAGCTGACTGTGTTTCACTCCACCAGTTGAGCACCACGGTCCGACCGGCAGTTCTGATCTTTTCACTCCTTTTTCCCACACCCAAAAAATTACCCCACACCGCCTCTCAAATACCCTCAACTAATATTCCCCTGACTTAACTAGGCTTAATGTAAACTGACCTATGCGCGCGGATTCCTTGGACTGCAATCCAACCAATACCACACAAAGCAATATGAATAATCTGATTCTCCTTGCTGATCCAACTGTTCAGTAATTGCCAACGGGCAATCGAGTAGTTGACGCGACTTGAAATGGCGAGTCTTACGCAGACAGACACGGAACTGAGGCGGGTCACAGCGAACCTATCGATCCTGGAAGCAGGGTCTCATCAGTCTGGTTCGCACCTAAGACCTGGCCAGTCAATCAATACACGCCAGCTTGGTAAATCACTGGACCGTCACTGACCAAAATGTAATGATAGATTTTTTGAAATATCTTGAGTTAAGTAGCTAACCTTTAGGAGCTTATTCATACGGCTCTAGTTCGCTATGATATTATACAATTATTCCATTTCGTTGTCAGTGAGTGCATGGAAAAATCGGAACACCTAGAGTGATCTCGGTTACAAGAAAGTTTTGTGATTGCTGATGCAAGTCGTTCGCATCTGGTCTTCTCTTTGTATCCCAATACGGTTTACGCAATTACCGTTGTTTATGACACGACCTGAGTATGATGGAGCAATCAAAGAAGTAATACTGAGGTTGGATGCAGAGTTTTGGGCAACTGTGTTCACTCTCTAGAGCAAGTATTCGACCTCCACAGATTCTATGATCAGTTTGATGTACAAATGAAACATGAACTGAAATAGTGTAAGGAAAAACTGACAACGGCCTTATCAGCTACCCGATGGTCAAGCGGGTAATATGTTTGCGTTCTACCTGTGAGGCCACTGGTTCAATCCCCAGTTGGGTCGATGGATTCGCGCAGCCGATAAGACCCAACAAGGTGGAAACCATCTGTCCAGTGCTTCCTAGCTTTTAACTTTACACTTCATGTACACCAGGAGTTCACAAGGGAATCAACTCAAATCTTCCATTACTCTCATGTTCCGTAAATTAGTTGTTTGGGACATGTGTTACGCGTGTCACCTGGCTGGTTTCTCCGACTTGTGATAGTTGCCGAGAAAGACGGTAAGTGGAAAATAATAAAGAGGAGTCAAAATAAGACCTGGCATGCGGTGATGAAAGCCCTGACAAAGAGATTCGATGATATAGGTAGCGTTAGGCTTCCTGGATCGAGGGGGGAGGGCTAAACCATGATTAGTGTAATCGATGATTAAAGGTGGCTGAGTGTGGAAAATAGTGGCACTCGTGCAACTGTCTAATATCTTGCAACGGTTGACTACCTGAATTCTCTATCGACATACCATGACCGCTTTCAGTATTATAATTTTCGCTCTATTCATTTATCCAAATGGGTAACCAGAAGACAGCAACCAAAACCATCGCAAGAAAAAGTGCTTGGTTAATGATTGGAACAAGGTTGGATGATATTAAATCACTTAAAGCCTTCCTAACATGAACCGTTGAGGTCAGGCAGATTTCTAACAATATGAGATTGTTCGAAATCCTATCCTTTTTACGTGATCAATCTTTCTCGTTCATACAACGATACGGAACATGCATTTTCACATCGGAAAGCAAAGCAATATATGAAATCATTGTGTGAAGTAATGTTTTTATTAACTATATATATATTTATATATGAAAAGAGAAGATGTATATATATCTCATGTATTCTTTTGGGGAAAAGGGTTATGATGCATGGATAAGGTATTGATTCATTTCTATCAAATAATAGTTTTCGAAATATGTTCAGGTTGAACCATACACAGGATTTGTATTCATTATTACGATCCCTTTTTTCATCGATGTTAGGAACATCTGTTTGTATGAAATGAAAACTAAAAGTTTGTTGAGCATTCACCATGTGGCGCGAGTGGTGAGGGCGACGTGATGAACGTCAACGTGGATGACGCTCATTCCGCGCAACCAACACAACAGGGCGATTACAGTCGTGAACAAAGTGATTGTGCAGTCCTCTCGGATTGTTGTTGATCCGCTTCGACTGACAGACATTTTCTGTATAATTCGGCCTGATTCGAACTCACATCGGGCAAATTCTCGCCAGTCGTATCATCTAGCAAGCACAGAGCAATGACCACCAACAAGAGGACCGCGGCGTACACCGCAAGCGGAACACCGTGAGCGACCAGACGATCTAATTCGTTCACAAACGAGCAAATAATTCCACCAACACGAGAAATCCCCATGACCAATCCGGCCCCATTAGTTCGCAGTTCGGATGGGAACAGTTCGGGGACATAGACAAAACACATAGTCAATGCGGCGTTGATCAGAATCAGAGCGATATTGGAGCAAACAGTGAGCACTGTGTCCGTGATGGGTCGTGCAATCAGTGTGTAGACGGAGCTAATCAACAAAACCAGCATTGCAACGGCCATACAACACAACAAAGGCTTTTTCCTGTGGCGGCAAAACCGATAGACTAAGGTGAACAGAACAATGGCCGGAATTGCGGTGACTGAGTTCAACAAAGAGACCAAATACACATAGTTCCACACAACGCGTGCGTAAAAAAGTAGACCGAAAAAGCTCATACAAACACCGAATATAATCACAATGCACAAACAGGTTCTTTTACGAAATTCTTTTTCAATTAGAGGACGAAACATGGAGGATTTTTGTCGTTTTGGCGTGACCATACAAGCCGGGTTCAGTTTCAATAATTCCAAATGAGCGAACGCTTCTTTCTCAGTCACTTTTGATCGATGAAATGTGTGATTGACACGATACGCAGTTTTGAGCACCTGAACTGCCTCATCCAAACGACCTTGAGAGACTAGCCAGCGTGGAGACTCCGGTAGTAACCAAATATAAGCGATGCTGAACAGATTTGGAGCCCAGACGGTGAAATAGAGCCACCGCCAATTGGGGATCAAATAAGCACACAGGGCCATAAGGGCTCGAAATAAGAAATGCGTGGTAAATCCGGGAACAGCAGACAGGGTGGCACGATGTCGAGCAATGGTGGTCTCCAAGATAAACACATTGGCCACACTTCCTTTCCCCGTATTCCCGATCCCCATTAGACCGCGTGCAATCACGTAGTTGTAATAATTCGGGGCTGCACATGTCCAAACTCCACAAGCAAAATCAACGAATGCCATGATCAGAATGGTTCGACGACGTCCGAATCGATCACCACACCATCCACCGCACATGAATCCCAGAAGCATACCAAGCATATAGACTGCTGTGCTCAGAGGAACAAGCCATGAGCGACCACAAACGGTTTCGAACTCTGAAACCACACTGTTCGGGTAGTGTAATGCACTATCCTCATGCACATAACCCCGCGGGCAAGCCTCGATTTCAAACATCTCCAACTGTGTCCGATTGGTCTCATGGAAGTACCAGGTTAAATTGACAGCTGTCCAGTTTAACTTATACACATAACAACCCGCATCAACCGCGGACACGGCCGAATTCGCATGTGAATTCTCGTCCCAACCGGCATCTATCCATGGACCGATACGAGATGCAACGTGGGTGAATGTCAAATCCCGGTTCTGAATAAACTGTTCCACATGTGGTTCCAGTTGACATCGGTGTCGAGACACACTGTTTGCAAACACGGGAAATGTGGCAATTGATCCACAACTGAAACTGATCATGAAAACTAGACCCCATTGCCAAAGACCGCACGTCCCAACTGTATCCTCCAATAAGCGATCCACATTAATGGAATCATCAAGCTGTAGCGGATCGACAGATCCGTTTTGAACCGATGATATCCCACATTTCTTGGGGTTGGGTTTATTATTTTCGTATTCTTTAATGTTTGAAGTAGATCTTGGACACATCTCTTCCCCCAGGTGGATTGAGTTGTACAAAGTTTCAGAATTGAATCTGTGTTTGCTAGGTGTGCACACGTTTATCAATGCGAAACAGGTCACACCCAAATAGGGTCACGTTCGGTTTAGCAATTTGATTGCCTCAGTTTAATAACTGGCGCTTGGAAAAAGTGCGTAAATATGTACATATATATGTCTATATGAATATATATATCCATGCAATTCAATTGGACAAAAAGCAAAATCGAGTTGATTCGCACACGGAAGGATTTTTTAGACTAAAAATGCATTTCATTTGCATTTCGATTTGTAAGTGGCCCTCTCCGTGTTGAACAGGTAGTGTGTGTGTGTGTGTGTGAATTTCGGAAGGGATGGGGTCATATATTATTCCACACAGTGCCAGTGCTGGTTACGTGCACGTTTCACTGCCAATCCACTCCACTGTATTGCGTTTCTTTATCAGTTCGAATAAATTTTATTGTTTGTTTGAGGCAAAAGAGATGAATCAGTCTTTTTCAATTTCCTGTGTATCGTTAGTATTTGTTCACTATTTTCCCCGTAGCTGGTTTACGCATCAGGTTATTTGAATGTCAGGTACCACTCCCCACACGTGATATCGATCGATTTTTGTCCCAAGGCCAGTAATTTATCTCTGTTGCTGTCTAGAGGAAGAAAAAAATGAATGAAAGCAATAAATTAGTATGCTCAAAAAAGAGATTAGCATGATAGTGGAAAAGTGAGCGATTGAATTTTTCTTAAGTGCTTTAAGAAGTAGTATACTATTGTACTTTCCTTCTAGAACAAAACCGCGAAACAAAGATTCACTCAAGTGTAGTGAAATAACGCTGGTTGTTCACATTCTCTACCGGAATGCATTGATTCTGTTCACCATTTTCTTCTGTCCTTTATTCTTGTTGTTCTGTTTTTAACCAAAAGTGAGCTATTTGCATCTGGGGTTCCCAAATCATCTCTAATTTTTCAATTATTCTGTTCACCACTGGTTTTCACGTTAGTTTGTGCATTTATCGATCGTAGCCTTACTCCGTCTTAATCTTAACCTGTGCGACCGTGAGTCTCAGCTTGTGTGGCTTGCAATCTAACTTTTATCATGACTTCCGCATTCTCTTCTGATCTCCAAACAATAAAGATTGCTCCCTTTCTAACCGCTTGACTGCAGCTATTTAGTCCATCATGCTAAATGACTTCAGTTCCGGACAAAATTAACATGGTTGCAGAGCTGAACTGTATAACACCGATTGGCTCAACCATTCATTTGGTACGACCCTCGTGCGACTAGGACCTAAAGCGTTTGTCTCCACTAGGGATTCTCCCCCAGTTGATCTATCTTCAACCACTAGAACTCCAGATCGTTCCGATATCTACACACGCACCCTTGATCTGCTTCTTACCGCCGGTTCCTCTAACTATGCTTTATTACACATGACGTGAATAACAGTAAAAGGGGAAACCTCTATGGACAAATAGCATACTGTAAAAGGGAGAGTAGTGGAAGATCCATTTTATTGATTCTGCTTTTAAAGAGTGTAAGGCTATAAGTTGGAGCAGGGACAGAAAGTGAGAGGGTGTTCCATAGTTTGACAGTTCGGGGGAAAATAAGATTGGAGCAGAAAAGCA